CTTCCATGTTATGTCTTTTCAACAGTCATATTTATATCGCAATATTTCTTAGGAATCACTGACTTATTCATCGAAATCGGTAAAGTCAACTACCAACATGAGCTCTGCATATTAGTGGCATGTTCTTTGTCAGTGAATTTCACTCTTTATTATGATCTTGTGTTGTTTCTTTATTGATTGAAATGTAACTTGGGTAATATTTCGTCAGTTTTGTTTTTACAATACAGCAATGTATTCTTTATTAGCTCACCTGAGCAGCAATGCTTTTGTTATCACTGTGCATCCTTTGTGCGTCGGTGATTATCCAGTGCATCTCTTCAATGTGAGTTCAAATTACGACCGTAGACATAGGGTCTAAATTGGCTCCACCCAGGGGATCATAGATTTTCCTCTAAATATATAGTAAACACCTTTTTAAAAACTACTTCTTATAAACCATGAAGGTGAATCAGATGTTTTTGGCATTTAACTTTGTTAGTGGACCTCTGCAATGTTGGTTTAAATTAAAGCATGGGGATCTACAAAGGTCTAACCAGGGTGGTGGGGGTCATGGAATTATCTCAGTGACTTTCAAGTGACCTCCAATGCATCGATCGACTTTAAATAGCAACTAGTGAATTCCATAGCAACAATGATTGTCAATAACGATCCATGACTTACATAGTAACAATCCATGACTTCATAGTAACCATCTACCTACCATAGGACCAATTGTATTTCATTAAACCATTGACTTTCCATAGACACAATGTATTTCATAGCAGTTATTGACTTTCCCTAGTAAACCGTAAATGTTCGTAGCATCTAGTGACTTCCATTGCTAACATTAAATTCTTATATGGCTTAGCAAACATTGACTTTCAATAGCATCGAGTGAAACTGTCATTGACTTTCATAGAAACCAGTGACTTCCACAATAACCATTGATTTTTTAGAACAATCAGTGACTATTTTAGTAACAATTGATTTTCAATAGAAATAGAAACAAATTACGTTTTACATTTCTGATGCAGATATGAATTTTGTGATTTAAGTTTAAGACTTCATACAGTTAACAATTGTTTTAAAGTGCCTTTACAATTAGGTGCGCGATATTAGGGACATCATAACCCTCTGGTTTATATAAGTTTTTATAATAAAAAGTTTCAGAAATTTAACTGACAAATTTGCGCTCAAAGATTCATTATATTGAATAAGAACTTGAAACAAAAAATATATATGGTTCTCCGTACATATCTTGAATTGATCAATCAGGTGAATTCAACTCCTTCGTTGCTCTACATAGTGGATACTGCGCAAGGTTAAGTTCAATACTACATTAATTGAACGAGTTGAATAAAATCATATTATGAAATTTTCTATTTATCATTGAGCCGATCTTAGATCTTGTGCTACGTTTAAGTAAGCTTGATTGTGAAATAAGTTCTTGAAATTAGTGACTTAGTAACAATTTTCTTCCTGGTGCTTACAAGTACTTTTACCTTTATACGTATATGGCGATACTATGATCTACTTAGGGCTCAAACCAACGACCCTTTGGATGAGAGATCGGCATCTCAAGCACAAAGCCACTCTTTACTTTTAAACAATCATAACTACCGTGCTTTTTCTCTTTCTCTATAAGATTTCATAAGAATTCATTGCTGATGTGCATAAAATTACGCCCATATTGGGGAAATTTTGTAATTTTATCTGTGACTAAATGTAGACTATTTATTTTTATTTTCTTTTAATAACTGTAACGGTTTTGGTATTTTCATTATATATTCATGCAATTTAAGTAACAACGGCCGGAATAAAATGAAGCAAAATAGTCATAAGAATTTCATAAAATGAAAGAACAAGAGATATATTTTTCTATATGTCTTTTATTTATTATTACATAATGCACATAAAACTAGCCAACATACTGTTATTTAAACAATATACAATTCATAATTTTATAAATCGTCCATATATATGAGCAATGTTTGGCGATTTTGATTTTTGTGTTCTTCTTTTCCTTTTTTTTAGAAATGTTTTTTTTAATAAATTCATTAGCTAAACAATAGTACTCAGCGTTATTTACATATACTGATATGATTAACTTTCAGCTTGGGAACTTGAAAAGCATTGTAATTCACCACATGGAGCAAAATCGCTCAACATGACTAGATAATAAGTCCTTATTGTCAAATTTATAGAAATTTTATAGAAAATTCAACAGACAAAACACATAATATATACACATATTTGATGAATGCAATGTAAATATAAGTACATAGATCATTTATTGCCTCATAGTATGATTAATTTACTATATTTTCACATAAATAAACAGTTTTGTGTCATACAGCGGCCAGAATGACTTCTATACTTATCAAACAATAAAATTAAAAATAATTTTTTAACATGCAGCTGATTGTTTCTTTTTTCCCAATTTATAGATTCCGTATGTCATTATGAAAACTTTCTGATATGGACATAAAATTAGAAAATAAATTTAAAACTTAAACTAAAGGGAAAACAATATAGTTTCGTATATAAATGTCCTACATTTTGAGGAATGCCTACATAGTCACAATTCAGTGAAATGATATCCATTATCCAATAGTATACACTTATTGACTAGTGTGACATTGAATATAATGTGATACTCACCAGCAGATAACATATTGAGTCCGGTGAATTTCACATCATATTCAATGGCACACTAGACAATAATTGCTTTATTATATGAATAGACTATAAGAATTTAACATAAATCACAGAAAATACAACCTTATACGCGTACAACGTTTGCCTGTTTCGGGAAAAAAGACTGCAAAATCTAAGGAACGCTGCGCATACAAAAGTAACTTAAGTTTATACTCATCATTGTGGTGTAACCTTTAATAATAAAAGAAAAGTAATGATATTTTAATAAAAAATATGCCATAAACAACAAAACGCAACCAATATTGTTTTAATAAGCACGCGTATTTAACAGTCTACGATATATGGTCATTGTATATGAGTCTCATCTATTTTTAGACATGGAAAATCCAATTCAGTCAGTGAATATAATACTACACCCGATGAATATGATTTTATTAAAAATTATTTTGACTACTATTTGGACCCCTAGATTGCAGCTTTATTTAGATCATATAATAAATCAATTTGATATTGATAAAATTCTATTCTGTTACTAACAAAGTAAAGGGAATTATTGTATATTTTATATAATATATATATATATATATATATATATATATATATATATATATATATATATATATATATATATATATATATATATATATATATATATATATATATTATGTGTTTCTTTAAATAAGACGTATCGTGACTAGGTTAAATAACTTAATTTGTACAAAAGGACTAATACATTTACTTATTATAGCAATTTTTCAAATATTCATAAAAAATATAACAAATCTCGAGCCATGTTGCTCTAAATACCATATAAATATACAAATAATACACAATTTATTATAAAATAAAATGCGTTTCATGAAGTGTATTATGAATTAAGTTTGTATTCTGACATACAATAAAGCATAAAATAACATTATTTGAAAACATGTTCTAATAATTCGCTTTCTATATGAATGTCATACACAGTGTTTATGCAACATGTTTACGAAGAATCATAAACTTTACACAATTTCAAAAACTATATTAATAGAGAATTTTCCAAATTCCTATAGAATTATCATAAACCTTTATATAGTTACTGAAAACAATGTGCTGTGACATGAGTATAAAAGTTCATCTATGATAATTATGATATGAAATACTAAAAAAAATGTTTTAAACATTAAGCTTAGTAATTTGTGTTCTAAAAGTACATAATACACATCAACACAACTGTTCTTGGGGACAATTATTTAACGCATGATCACAGATTCTATTATATTAGAAAGCTATAAATCTGCAGCAAACATTATTTTGAAAAACTTTTTAAAAAAACAACAACAATACACTCAAAATGCCTGTATCTAACAAATATGTAAGTATATTTCATTAAAAGCACTAAATCGTTGTTAAATTGTTAAATTTCTACATGGAACATTTTATTCTACTTTCGTACACTATTCGTGTTTGTTTAATAATAGAGACATTTTATTTTGTTAATCTACCATAAGATTATGCAAACCTATAAAGTTTTAATGTAAATAAATTTTACAAACATATTTCTTAGATATAGCTTCAAACCCTTTAAACAAAATTTTAAAAACGAATGACATATCAGTCAAATACTGTATTAATAGAAAAAAAATCAAATTCTTTTGGAATTTTCATACACTATTAATATAATTCGATAAATCCTTTTTTTGTCAAATAATTTTTAAGGACAAATAAACAGGGTTTTTTTTAATTTTTGCAGTAGTAGATTTTTATAACAATCCGCAAAAGACTAAATAGCAGAAACATTTGTCAAAGTGTCCCATAATTTTCTGCTGTTATAATTATACCAGCGATGCGTTATTGCAGGTTCATTTTTCAAAGTGAATTACATTGATTTTGCTGGTGTTAGATAAAAAATTGAACTCAACTGACAGTACAATAGAAAAAAAATCAAGATTGCTCCAATGAATGTTAACTTGTTCAAGTTTTTTAGTGTTAATGTTGTGGTTTTCATCAAAGTGTAAAATTGCAAGGTACACGAACTGGTTATGCTTAGAAAGGTGCATAAGGGATTTATTTTCGGATATAATCGTAATAAAATCTTCATCAACGGACTGATATTACCGTCATTAACAGACAAATTATCCGATACCTCTCTAATATGACTTTTATCAAGAGACTGCTCACCAGGTTGATCTATCACATTACCTTCAACAATGGAGTGATTGACCTTCAACAATAAATTGAGCACCAGACACAACGTTAGAAAAAACTATAATTCTTATTCAATACTGATAATTTGACTGTTAATATATAATTTCTATCATATGATCAGTTGTGTTTTTCTATTCTATATAAGGATCATAGTTCAAGATTACGTGATAACGTTATACCCTAGATCCAGTTTCAAAATTAAAAGTCCAACGCGTTGTTTCCTTCACTTTAAACTTTGGATTAATTAGAACATAGTTACGTGCACTGTCTATTAAATCTATTAAACTAACCGCTTCGACTTCAACAGGCTTATGAAGAGTGAGAAGACTTTCAACGAATGTTCGCCATGTTTCCAAACTCATGTTGGTATTTTTTAGTTTAATAAATGCTAAATTTGTCATATCTGGTGTAACAGTTAAAGCATTGTCATCTATATCTACATTCTGTAACATGAGACACCTAAGCTGATGTAATGTGTGCACTACTTTATCAACTTTTTTGTTGTAATGAAATTCTTCACCGTCTGGGTTATTTTTCAAGGAAAGGTTAGTCAATCTGCCAGCATTTAATAAATTGTCTAAGTCAAATATTCCTGGACTACTTGATATATCAACCAGTTTTAATTTTTCAGTGTTTAGGTGAGAAATTTTAAAATTCTTACAGTCGGACAACTTAAGAAACGGGAACTTGAAAAAATGTTCAACATAAGATTCATCATCAGATTTATCTGTCAAATGACCATTCTCATCAGATTCATTATCAGACCCATGACATTCATCAGCAAATGGACCATCAGTTTCAGCTCTGATACGGTCAACAAACTGCTCTTCTGTCATATTACCTTCAACAACAGAGTGATCGTTAGAAACACCTCTGATTTGACCTTCAACAATAGATTGAGCACCAGACACCCGTATCATAGTCAGCTCTTGCAATGGTGCTTGTCGTAATAATTGTTCAGTTGATGTTTTATCAACAGTTAGGTTTTCCAGGTAAAGTTTCTTCAGACGACACCCGTATTGTAAATGATAAAATTTTAATGCATGTATATTATAGTTACTATAATCAATGTAATCGTATTCATCTTCAGAATCATCTTCGTATTGTAAATAAAAATCAGTATGATATATCTTATAATCAATATATACTTTTTCAAGTTGTTCAGTGTTCAATCCAGTAATTACTAGACCTGGACTGTTTGATAGTGTAAGATCTTTCAGATGATTGTGTCTAGACAGATCAATATCAGTAACATCATTATACGAGTACAATTCTCCACATTTTGATAATATCAATATTTTTAATGGTGCTTGTTGTATCAATGAGGCTATAAATTGAGATGAACACCAAGTGTTTATAATGTGAAGGTCAGTCAGTCTGCCAGCTTTGAATGGACAATTTACATCTGATCCGATCCGAGAATGTAATATTTCTACTCGTTTAAGCTGTTCAAAGTTGAGGCCAGAAACCGTTAATTCACACTCGTTTAGCAGAAGTGTCTGAAGATGGTTTTGCATTGAGAGATCGAGATCTCTATCACAACGTTTCACTGCTTGTAGGGTCAGTTGTCTTAAAAATACCTTTTCGGAAAATGAAAATTTAAATACAAATTTGTGGTACATGTCCATACACACAGAAATGTACTGCACTTGTTTTAATTGTGTGGTAAATTCTATTATATCGTTGAAGTAATCCGAGTCGTTGTCTCCTTCACGTATTCCAAGAAAACTGCACTGCAAAGAAATCACTTCATCTGGCTTGATTCTTTGTAGAGGTAAACACCTATGTATGCGAAGATCACTTATGCTGATCATAGTACTGTCATCAGGGTCACATTCTTTGAGACAATTTAGCATAAGGTCTTGTATACTTAGTAACTGGTGGTCCATGGACATTGTAAAAACCCAATTTTCATAATACTTACTTCTTGAATTTGAAATGTCTTCATCCTTATTTACAATACTTGAAACCCGTTGTGACAAATCACTGATAAGAGCGGGGCACAAACCACAAACAATTTTAATCATATTAGAGAACTGTAATACGTCACTAGCAGATTTACATTTACATAAAAACTTATCTAAAATCTTCTGTTTTTTATCATCTACTTTCATGTTATCAAACATTGAGACAAACATAGCGGCAAAGAACTCGAGATAAGACATGTGGATAAAACCATATTGTGTATCTTCCTCTGTTCTGTCGAAGCGATTGCTTTTACTCAAGATACCAACTTGTGTAAGCGCAGTGATGTCACCTTTTGATAATCCAATCTTTAAAAGATTTCGTTGCCCAAATATGTTATGAATTGAACCTGAAGTTAAAGCTTCAAAAGCAGTTTGACTACATAGAAATAAAACACGTTCTTTGCCTTCAAACCTCGGATATTTTTGCAACATTTCAGGCAAACGAAAACTCATGCATTCAGTTGCATCACTATGACTTTCATTTCTATCAATCATGGTATCTTTGTGGTCTGCCCAACCTAACATGGTATTTAAAACCAGACAGTAAGTTTCGCTTACGGATTCACCTAGGTCTTTTCCATTTGTGTATAACCAAAGCAGTTGTTGCAAAAGCAATGGTGTTTGTTCTACGTGTTCAATTCGTTTTCTTTCCATAATTTCAATGAAATCATAATAAGACTTTTCAATAACATTTGCTTTAAAAATATATCGTTCGATAAATGATTTCAATGATTCACTAGATACGCCTAAAAGTTCTAACTTGAGATCCACTTCTGAGATTTTTAAATTAAGTATTCCTTTTGCAGATGGTCTAGATAATGTTATGACTGTTGCATCTTTTGCCAGGTCTCCGTTTGGTATCCCATAGCTTACATGAGGTTTGCGTACAATTTCTTTATGAGGCTTCCATTCATCTAAGCTATCAGCAATGATAAGACAACGCTCTGAGTCTTCCTGAAATATTCTGTCTATCAACTCCGCATTAGAAGTGAGATGTTTTAAAAGTTCTTTAATCATATCAACAGTTGCGTCAGATTTATAATCTAGCATAAACTGCAATGGTATAAAAAAAAGAAAATCAAAATGTTCCATCTGAGAGACGTCATCATCACGCTTGTAGACCATATAAGGATCAAATGATTCAGTGTTTGTCTTTTCATGATCATTTTCAGGGCAAGTTGATTCTCTGGCCTCATCAATTACCATATGATATTTACACCAATTTTCAATCATCATTTTGCAGAAAGTACTTTTTCCTGTGCCGACATTACCCAAAACATAAATCTTCTTATTTCGTTGCTCCTTTGTTTTAAAGATTTCATGATAACCCTGTAGATATTTCTTCTCTGGCATACTAGTTTGCGCAGATTGGTTTACCGCAATGACTTTTATCTCGGACGGAACATATATATCTTTAATATTGATGCTATCTTGTTCTTGCGCCAAAGGAGACATCGAGGTCTTCACGCAATGCCTCTGGTAATATTCAATTAGCTTACCTTGTAGCTCTGTGATATAAAGATAATTCATGGGTTATATCCTTGCGAAAAATTAGCAAAAGTAAAACACTGTGATGATCAAATTATTTAAGGGAGAAAACAAGAAAAATTGCAAAGCCATGAAACACGGTTTTCGATTGAAAGAAAGTTTTGTTGTAATCAAAATATCAATACAAGCAACATTCAATGGGACTTTGTGTACTATGAATGATAAATAATTAAGAAAGAAATGATAAAAGCAAACATCTTGTTATAACAGCCATCCAAATTGTGGCTTCCAAATAATAATAATATAAGTTTAATCAAAATCGCATTCCTAAATTTTGTAATAGATCGGAAACGGTTTTTCTAATTTTAGAAACAGTGGGGTTGACCTTGACACAGAAGGCCCAAAAAAACAACAGTAAGCAAAATATTTTCATTAAAATTTCTTATTCCTAACTGTTATTTTTAACCGAAAACCAATTTTCTAAAAAGACATTTCGTAACTGTGACCTTAACCCTGTTCCCAGTTGGTCCAAAAGCAATTCAAGCAAAGTCGTCATATAAGTTTTCTTAACACCAAGTTAAAATTGAAATATCTGATTCGTTTTTTTTCTTGTTATTGTCTGAGAACATATTTTTAGTTACAGATAATAGTAATAGATGGTTTCGGTTCAAAAGCTACATGAAGCTATATTTTACATTATAATTTATATCACATATATGGATAAAACCACTTGTTGACAATGCTTCTGTGGAAGTTTGGTAAAAATCCTTATAAATGTCGGACGAGTTGTCCACAATTTTTTTTCATATAAGGAAAAACAAAAGGCCATAACAAGGTAAACAAGAGTCCGTTTGAACCGGTTGATGCTCCCTGAAAAAGTTTTAGAAACAGAAAAGTACACCTCTTGTAGTTTCAGAGTTATGTCCCTGGACAAAGGTCAAAGTGCAATAATTCCAAAATAAGGCAAGGCAAATTTACTGTTCTTTGCACTGGACTACTTATCCAAGAGATCTATCTAACGACTTAGTTCTTGTTGATACATTTTGTAGTTCTACAGTTATTTCTCGGACAAATTAAAGAGTATTAAATTAAAAGGGCAATATCCCCAAAATATGCAAGGCAGAGTTTCGGATTCTTAAGCACTTCACTTCTATCTATTGAGCTCTATCCACCTGCAGATCGTCTTCTTTATACATCGCACGGTTGCCGCAGTGTTAAATTGAAAAAGGACCAGAACTTTAAAAATATGCAAGGCAGAGTTACGGTTCTTTTGTACTATACTTCTATCAAATGAGATCTATCTACTTACGAAGTTTATTGTTGATACCTCTTACGGTTTCCGAGTTATTCCCATACAAAGTTTAAAGTGTAAAAATGAACAAAGGTTAATAACTCCAAAATGAGGCAAAGAAAAGTAATAGCTCTTGTGCATTGCATATCATCCTATAAAGATCTATCTACCCTCAAGGCTTGTTTATATTTTTAATATAGTTTTATAGCTATGTTCAAAACAAGATTTTTCGGAAGGGGAGCTAATTCAAAATCCGGACAATGCAGAGTATTGGTTCTTTGACACAGCTTCCCGCCTCAATAACGTCTATCACTGTATGAAGTTTAAATGAATAATTTATCTCCAAGGGTTTTCAAGTTATGATCCGGACAAGCGAACAGACAGACAGACGGACAGAAAAGCCGGCGACTATACGCTCTCCCTTCAGAAAGCATAAAAATCAAATAACAAAACCTAGATAATATGTACCAGAACATTTGTTAACAAGGCTTCTGTGAACATTTGGACAAATCCATTGAGACATGAAGGAGTTGTTGTGCACAGAAGAAATTGCTCACTTTATATTATGTATAAGAAACAAAACAAAGAACAATAATTATGTAAACAAATTATCAAATCCCAAAACACGAAAATGCGCCAAACATTTAATGACTAAGCTTCCGTTAAAGTTTGGTCTAAACCCTTTGATAAATATAGGAGTTGCATACAGATGAAATTGTTCGCTAATATTTTCAATCTGAAAAATCAAAGGGCTACCTTATCAAATCACTTAACCTAGAAAATATTCACCAACCACATATTGTAAACGCATTTGCTAATGTTTGGTAAAAATCCCTTGGGAATGTATGAGGAGTTGCACAGACGTTCAGTGAAGGAAAAAAGACAAAGGGCCATAATTAGGTCAAAAATTATGAAATCATAAAACATAGACAATATGCGCTATGCCATTTATGACACAGCATCTATGAACTTGAGACAATGTTATGCACAGAACAAATTGTTCACTTGATATAATCTATAAAGTAAAGGGCCAAAATTTGGTAAAAAACACCAAATCACAAAACACCGATAATATGCATCACGGTACTTGATAACTAAGCTTCTGTGGAACATTTGACAAAATCCATTGATATATGTAGTGTTGCGCAGAGTAGAAATTGTTCACTATATATTCTATATCAAGAAAAGAAACAAAGGGCTGTAATAAGGTCAAACATTATCAAATTACAAAAAGACTGACAGTATGCGCCACAAAAAATCTTTTTAGAAAGTTTGGTCAAAATCCCTTGAGGCATAAAGGAAGAATTTCTCACAAAAGAAAGTATAAACTATTTATAATCTAGGAAAACGGGTCATAAATAGGTAAAAAGAATTATCAAATCACAAAACACCGACAATATGCATCAGAGCACTTGAAATAACCGTTTTGAAAAAGTTTGGTCAATGTTCCTAGAGAAATGAAGGTGGACTCAGCCTGTCCGTTAGTCCACTGAGGTAAATGAAACTAATATCCAGTTTTACAGATAAAATTTTGACTACTATTTTTTTATTGATGAATTATCTAAAATACTAAACTTGGATTAATAAAAGTTCATATTTCATTTATAAACATTTTTTTCTCACATTCGTGTGTTTATAAGTATACTTACATCAGAAATAATTAGTAAACTACTGTAGGACAACATATGAGCCAGTATATTAGCAAATTATTCGCTACCACGCCCTTCTTGTTAGAATTTTGTAAAACATGATTTTCTAAAAACATTTGGTCTGGGGGCATTATCCTGTTTTGTGCCATCTTGGACTATAAGGAGAAAATGACTCGCCTGTCTTTGAAAGATCTTTTAAAATAGCTTGGCGTCACTGGCTATATCTCTTCAGGTATTGCAGTTAATCCTGCAATTCCTATAAAAAATTAACAAGAACCATGTCAACATGGCCATCCCCCGCCAAATGTGTTTGCTCAATGGAAGAATGTATATGTAGTAGAGCAGAATAATACAATTTTTAAGAGGTATTTTGGTAATAAAAACTGATGGATGAAGTTTCAAGTTGATACCTCAAATACTTTTTGAGATAAGCTCCGAACAAAATAGTAATAACAAGAACAAAGGGCAGTAACTCAAAAATTATGAAAGGTGGAGTTATTATTCTTATACACTGCACACCTCCTGAGTGAGATCTATGCACCTATGACGTTTTATGTTGACATCTCAAAGGTTTTTTTGAGTTATGCTCTGGACAAAAAATAATTTTGAAAAATATTAAAGGGCAATAACTGAAAAAGTATGCAGGGTACAGTTATCATTCTTGTGCACTGCACTCCACTTTAATGAGATTTATCCACCTATGAAGTTTCAAGTTGATACCTCGAATACTTTTTGAGATAAGCTCCGAACAAAATAGTATGAAAAAGAACAAAAGGCAATAACTCAAACAATACATAGCGAAGAGTTATCATTCTTGCACACAGCTTTCCTCCTCAATAAGATCTATCTACCTATGATGTTTCATGTTGACACCTCAAACACTTTTTGAGTTATGCATCACTTAGGTGAAAAATTAGGTATGAAAAATAACAAAGTGCAAGAACTCAAATTATGAAAGGTAGAGTTATCAATCTTGTGCATTGCACACCTCATGAGTAAGATCTATCAACCTATGAAGTTTCATGTTGATATCTCAAAGACTTTTTGAGTTATGCTCTGGACAAAATTAATTTTGAACAAGATTGCATATGTGAAAAGTTCTATGCCACCGCATTAATACAACACTAAATAGTAATGTAGGAACATATTTTTTTGTTTCTATACAATTGAAGACTGCCATAATGTATAGATCACTGACCAATCTGATTCTTTTTATCAGATAAGTGGTTATATCTATAGTTAGTCAATTAAAAGATCAGAGTAGGAATCTATCAATGCAGTTGAGTCTACAGAATGTGACGGTGAAAGTCATATTTCACATGGCCAAAATTCCATGACTGTAAGATACTTTGTCAAAATCTTGGCCAGCTGATATCAAAGTTCATTTGACATCTTAATCTATGCACATGGTTCAAATTTAATTGCTGCACATCAAAGGACAAGAAAGTACATGTAGGTCACATCATCAAAATCTAGGTCACCTGATATCAAAGTTTAATTTTACAACTAAAACTGTGTACATAATCCAAAGTTCAAGACTGTACATCAAAGGACAAGAAAGTAGGTCACTGTCCCCTTCGGCTAGGCAAAATTTTGACGCAAGGGTTTGATTCAAACAATCTCGATACAGGTCCACCAAACAATATTTCATGTCAAATATCTTAGTTGTAGCTTTCTCGAGCTCCAATTCAGAAAACATTTGTTTTAGTTTCTGTTTTTACTATGTGTACATAATGAAAATCAATGCCCCCAGGCAGGGCCAATTTGGATACCAGGGGCAAAATTTGAACAACTTTGGTAGAGTACCTATGGCTGATATTATAAAGCAAACATCAACACTCTTGTACCTTCAGACAATAATTTTTTACTTTTTTACTATATGTACATAGTGACTCAAAACCAATGGCCCCCGGGGCGGGGCCAATTTTGACCATAGCGCTAAATTTAAACAATCTTGCTAGAGGTTCACTACACAATGTTTCATGCAAAATATCTAACCTCTAGCATTTGTCAATTTCGAGAAGATGATTTTTTAAAGATTTTACTATATACATAAAAGGAAAACCTATGACCTCGGGCGGGGCTAATTTTGAGGCTAGAGGCAAAATTTGAACAACTTTGGTAGAGTTTCTATAGGTGTTATCATATATTAAATATCAAAGCTATAAGCCTTGTATCTTCAGACAAGAAGGTATGTTAAGGTTTTTACTATATTTACATATAGTAAAAATCAAAGAGCCCCGGGGCGGAGCCAATTTTGACCCCAGGGCTATAATTTGAACAATCTCGGTAGAAGTCTTCCAGACATTGCCTTATGTAAAATATCTATGCTCTAGGCCTTGTGGGTCTTTACAAGAATATTTTTAAAATTTATTCTTATTATTCCTTTAGGTTGCCATGTCAAACAGATTTGTGCATGGAATGAAATTCTTTGAACATTTTTTGAAGCCCTTTACCCAAGGATCAATCCTGCCAAGTTTGGTTGAAAGTGAACCAGTGGTTTTTCTCAAGAAGACTTTTTAAGTTCACTTTGTCATCTATAGAACACACGCACACACACACACACACACACACGCACGCACGCACGCACGCACGCACGCACGCACGCACACACACACACACACACACAATTACACATACACACAGGTGAATCGCTATATGCCACCACATCGCAGATGCTGCGGTGGCATAAAATAACAAAGGGCAATAACTCAAAAACTATGCACGGTAGAGTTATCATTCTTGTGCACAGCACTCTTCCTCAATGAGGTCTATCCACCTATGAAGTTACGAGTTGATACCTCAAATACTTTTTGAGATATGCTCCGGACAAAAATGTCGGACGAAAGGACGAACGGATGGATGGACGGACGAAGACTATTTCTATATCCCCCTCCGCCTTTCGGCGTGGGATAAAAAGGAACAGGTTTAAACCAATTGCTGATTTTCTATTATTTTGATACATCAATTATTTATCTCTCCTCATTTGGTTAGTTTTCCTGTTTACAACTCAAATATTGTTTTCAGTATTAACTGCATATAACCAGTTTATATTATACAAAATCTTGTCTGTCTGTTTTAAGAAGGGCAAACATATTTCAATAAAATAAACCCTGAGAAAAAAATTACATGTACTGAGATTGTAAGAAAAGATATATATGTTCTATTCAATTAATGTTAAATTGTGCGATATCTATCTCATTTAATATTTCTTCTGCTTGCCCAACGCAGTAAGGGCTGTAATACAACAGTATGAGAGTTGCATAAGAGACTGGAGCATAATTAGGTAATTATTTTCATGGTAACAAGAAACTCAAGTCAGTACAAGAACTGTGAATGACTCTAGACAGAATTGAATGAATATACGTAAGACCGGTAGGAACAGTTTAACTTCATAATTTCCCGATTGTATCTTTATGAAGTCACGATTTCAGCTTCACAAATTTATTATTTCAACTTCATGAAATCAAAATTTCAACATCATGCATTCACCTTTTCAGTTTCACGAATTTACGATTTTAATTCATGAGATATGATAAACAAGATCAATTAGGAAAGGCGGCGTTCAATGAAGTTGAAATCTTGAGTTCGTGAAGTGGAAATCGTGAATTCACGAAGTTGAATTCCTAAAGTAGAAATCGTGAATTCGTGAAGTTAAAATAGTGAATTCGTGAAGTTGAAATCATTACTTCATTCAGCTGCAACCGTACATTCCTAAATATTGTATGTTGAAATGAGACTTAACGAAATTAGAATTGTGAATTCACGAATATGAAATCAGGAGTTCATTTAGTTGAAATGTCCCAACCGTATGAAATGCATGATATGTTTCAGTTATAGTCAGAAGATATTTAAAAAAAAAATCATCAGTATTTACAATTTTTGTCGAAGGAAAGGCAATAAAAGATGTGCAAAACTACGAATAACTTAAAAACAGTCATTCAATCATGAGCAGGTGATTAATGAGATTTTTTACAAGGAAAGCATATGTTTTAATATCTTTGCAGAAAGATGGAGAAACTAATTTGTATATGCATGCACAGGAATATAGGATTAAGTTAATTATATGAGACTCTTGACTTAAAACGATGGGAATAGTTAAATAAAAAACCTTTTGATTATGACGGGTGTATCATTTATATATTATAATACATGTATATAATGTTCTTGAACATAATTTGAATATTCATATCCATCTAATTATTTATTACTTCAATATTACCACCATATTTTAAAGGAAAAGTAAAAACAAAAACACTGAGTTAAACGGCAACAGTGCATGACCAAACAACATGAATGTGTTGGGTTATCTTGTTCTGCACTGTATCAAAGTCAAAAAAGCAACAAAAGAACCGCTGCATAACTACATATTGAGAAGAGGAATATTTCCTTTCAGAATTCCCCCTTGCATCCACATCAGGGTTCTTCAAAAAGATAATCGATAATTAAAATCATTGTGATAATTGATGTAACGAATGGAATTTATTTTTAGCAAGAAAGGTGTCTACTTTTCAATAAAAAAAGATCTGACATTTTTTTACCTACACAATATAGCTCACTTTACAGTTTACCAAACATATTAAGAGGAAACACTTGCCACGCACTTCATTACAACTCTGTAAAGGTCTTGTGATAATGCATGTATATCATTCTGTTTCAGTTTACTTTGACTTGATTTTTTCTGTAATGTAAATTTCCCATAGGACACTGGGAGATTGTTTATACTTTAGATGCAAGTGTACCATGTGACTAAGATATTCGTACAGTTTAACATTTTCTATATGAAATAAAATAAATAATAGCCGCCTGTTTTCGATAAGCCTCAGATTGACTAAGTTGACAATATCAGATCATCACAGTTATTGTTCAGGGTAATAAGAGAAATAACACATGGGTTGTTAGTAACAGATAAAATATCGTCTCTCGTAAAAATATTGTTACCATCGGCTAACGCCCCGGTATGATATTTTTACTGTACTCACAAACCCATGTGTTTATTTATATTACAGCTGTAAACCAACCGGTCATGTGTCAATCTGTATGACACTTACAAGCTTGAAAAACATTAAAATCAAAGGAGTTGCGCGGTAAATATTAAGTAATATTACGTAATTAACCGGGTGTTCATTTTATAATATGAGGGCCATTGAAAAAAATTTAAATGAATAAAACCCTTTGGGTGTAGGGCAAATTTTGAATAAATTCCCCCTTTATGGGGAAATTTTTAATAAATCCCGTATATTTTTCTATATTATTTTTTGTGTTTTAAAAGTCAAATGATACCGCTATAAATTATTCCAAGCTGCTGTTTTTTGGATGACAAAACTTGAAAACACAAGCCTTTGAGTACGAGAGTAGAACCCGTTGTAAAAAGCTTCGTAATTCTAGCTTATCTTTATACACCTTTATCGTGTGTTTTGTAGGATGTTATATCCAGTTTTGACTTTAAAAGCACTCTTTAATACAAGACAGGGTAAATTTGATTATAAGGCTTATACAAAAGGTTTGTTTTAGCCTTACGCATAAGGCACGTGCGCGAAATTCTATTCCTGTTTCTAAAGAAAAACCGCATTGAAAAAAGTATATTTTATAAATTGCTTATTTCCATCCCAAAAGCCACATAGTAGGCAATAACCATTTGTTTTCTTTAATCATAGTGTAAAAAAGTCTTTCTGGATGAGAGGGTATGGTTTATTGGTGGCACAAAGTGTTATTAAACGCACCTCATAATATTCTAGAACCGTAGGTTGTGTGTTCGAAAATATATGTTATAGATATTTTGATAATGATGTTATATTTTACAAAAGTCATTCAAGGAGGTGCCAAATTGTAATTTAATATTCCTGCCAAATATATATGCGCCTAAAAGGAATGATACATACAACATGTTAATTTTTACACAATAAGCATCAGAATGTTCATATATGCAAGCCAAACAAATAAGCTGATAAAATACTCAGGTTATTTAAAGTCATTTTCTACTTCTCAACAAGCTTGAATGTTAAATCGTTAGTACATACTTCTCTTAGAAATTGTTAATTATTTTAAAAAAGTAAAGCTTCATTACCTTTTTTCTCTTCGACGTAATCTAAACGCCGCTCGTATATGTGACGTTCATTTTTAAGTTCCTCAAGTTTCTCCTCCCATGACTTCACTTGCTGAAAGCAACGTAAGATAAACATGACAAAATATTTTTTTAAAACTCGTAGAGACATTGTTTTCACAATTGATAACAAAAAAATAACATATAAAGCGTGTTTATATTTCTTGCGATACATGTATCTTAAAATGCAACCATTTATATTCATATTTATATTGTTAACATCATAAATTTAACTTTTCTGTATGTTAATTATGATAATACATGTATAATATAATGATATAATATAATCCCTAACAATTGTAAGCATACCTAACATACCCAACATAAAACTGACCAAGTATAAACAGGCTTTTTTGACCGCCGCCCTTCATGCCTCCTTGAGGGACCAAAACACACGAATTAATAATGAATTTAAGTTTGATAAGTAAATGAATAAGTAAATGATGGTTAAAATTAAATAAAACAAATTCGGAACACAGTGATTAATTTAAGGAAATATATTAATGCCTGTGGCCTCAATCAATGTGACAGTTAACCTTTCCTTAAGTTTGTGGTCGTGAAAATAAGGTTATTGAACAAAAGGTAAATAGAATAAATTTCAGTATCGGTGATCTTGTACCAGGTCATATAGCGACTTTTCAGGATTTCTGGAGGAGAAATACGTCACGTGACCCGCCGTTCACTGTTTCAGGAGTGAGCACCTGAGTACAACCACCAACGTTTCGTAAGTTTTTTCAGTTGAAAAAAATATCATTAAGGAATTTAACTTACAAGTAGTTCGAAGTCGATGGCCTTTACTAATCTAATTAGCAACATGGACCCATTTAGGATTTTTTTAACGCAAACAAAAACAATCTTAGAAGACAACCCACAGCTGATCACAAATAAACACTATGACAGTGGCCTGATCAGCTAACTATAACCGCAAAAGATAAGATCGAAATATATTCAAAAAGTAAAATCATGATATAATATGATACCTCCTTCACAAAAGAGACATCTGATTTCAAAACAGAAACGTCTGATTCCAGTTTTTCGACTCTTTCATATATAACTTCGCTGCGTTTGTCAAATTCTTTTATAGCATCATTTTGACATGTTTGTATGTTTTCTTTAGCTCTTGCTGTATCTTGATCAACGGCAAATTGAATTTCTTTTTTTCCAACTTCAATCACCTGCTTTAGCTCTTCTGATTTTTGGCTTACATAACTTATTGCTTCTTTATATGCATCGACCTCGTTGTTTGTTGTAATAATAAATTTGCTTTCCTTCAACTGGCAAAAAAATATTAAAAAATAAGAATAAAAATAATCTTAAACATAGATAATTATTGAAATATAGCTGCAATTTATATATACATGAAATTATAAATCTGTCTAAGAATATTTTTGGTCTTTCACCGCATGTGTATCTTTGTTTCTTGATATGTCCTTACTTTATGAATAAAAATAAATTTTCACATTTTTAACACATTTAATAAGAATTATTGAATGCTTAATTTAGTTGTTGAAAACAACATTTATTTAAGAATACGAGAAAAGGGTAATGGCTATACTTTTCACTAATTTTTTCACTTTAAAATGAAGTAAGCATTTTACAACTACACGATTTCCCTGTTTTAAAGAAAACATTTTATATAACAATCTAAAAGTTAAACTAGTTCTCACCTACTTTTCTATTTAAATGTTAAATACTTTTTCATTTAAATGAAAATAATGTTACACCTTTTGTACCCTTTGACTCAAGGTTTATATAAAGTCATATTTTATTCAACGGTGGAATACCGTCATGGTTTTAAAATTTCTACAGCCTGACACCATGGTAAAATATTAAACAACTTTTTACAAGTGATTAAAACAGAAACTTTTCCCGGTCAGATTATATTTATCTTCGACAGCACAGATGTTCTCGTAAGGCTAATTATACAAGCATTGCTCTAGGTGAAAAAAGATAAGACACTCTTGTAAAATTACTTAAGGAAAATATCCAACATTAGAATGGACATTAAATAGTTAATAAAGCCGACTTAAACAGTGCCATTAATAACAAATATTCTAAAATGTTTTGGTCTACAGTGGATATATACATCAAAATATTCATTATATCTACTTTTAAAAAGTCAACGATAAAATGACCTTTACCACGATTATTTGTTCTTTACAATTAAAAGAACACAACGAGGGGCACTTCGTAAATTCTTAAAACAACCTTACGAAATTTACTGTAAGTGTTAAAAATTCTTTTGTTTTCTTATGTCAGTCCCTCAAAATACCCCCACTTGTAGAAATTACCCGTCCGTCCATTTGCGAAAGTGTCTAGATAAATTGAAGCGGGTATATGTTGCATACTTTGATATACGCAATAGCCAATACATGTTATTGATTCATATTAACGACCTTCAAGCATTTCTTAAAACTTTGGAAACTACCAAAAGTAACAAGTGGCAAGGTCAGAACTCAAAGACTTTCACATTGATTGCCTGCAAATAGTAAGTTAAAATAGCTGATTTATGAGCGAGCGCATTGTTGTGCAGTGGATAATGGTCACGTGTGCCTATCGACAAACCTTGAAGAACTGGACCAAACGCATCAATGAAAATAGCGTACGTTGCCTTACTTATGCCTACGTCACATTTCAAGCGGGGACCGGCCGATATAGAGGGATCGATGGGACGCCGTTGATAATTTGAGATCGGAGAGAAACATTTCAATAATGTCCGGGAAGAAGTGGGCGGTCATTCTCATTCTCCCTCTGTGGTCAGTAAGATATTCGGACGGTTACCGAAGGGTACTCGCCCGGTCACCCGGTGAAAATCCTTGGCGTCATCCCGGGAATCGAACCCACAATGTACAAATTACAAGTCTAGCGATTTAACCGATTCAGCTCTGCACGCTGGCTAATGAGAGAATGATGGTGTTATTAATGATTTACCCTGAGGACTTTGGCGGTAAACCAACTTGAATATACATACCAGAGCACAGTTCAGCCACTGCATCGACAGTCTGTCAAGCAGTTAATCATTAATTATCTCTTTCACTTTCGCAAGGTTCTGATAACATCTGTACAACGAAAGTGACCTTCACCGTCGTCCGAGAATTGAACACGGGTCAAAGGCTTTACCTGCCGTAAGGTCTATTTAATAACCCCAACGCTATCCTTACGGACATTTTAGGACCATACGTGCGACGTACTGAGTCCATCCGGGTCCGGGTCAGTAACCTGCCGAGACGCCTTCGGTGACCGCTCAGATACCGCTCGGAAACTGGAGGAATATTTGGCGCCCAGGAGGTAAAAATTCTAACCGGTACGTAACCGATAACAAAAGGTGTCCGGCCGGGTATCGGAGGGTATTTTACAGTGTCTGCTACGTTACGGATGCCGGAAGAAAATAACTCTGCACTAAAATTCTCCGATTACCCGTACGGTGCCCAACCGGTCACTTGACACCGGAGGGTCACAAGCCGGAGACCTTTAAAAAATTTGCAATTTCAGCCCGTTCAGGCATCGGTACTCCATCGTAAACCTAATCGAGGTGTAATGTGACGCAGGCTTTACAGTCGTATTTCTGCGTCCCGTCCGATAACCTTCCGGATACCGTCTGAACCCATCCAAACATTTTTCTTTGCTTTCTGGCATAAAATGATAGAGTTTGGCACCAGTAACAATTTCAATTAAACGTCGATCGTCACATTGATACACGTTTTCAATGACTCGTATTTGGGACATTAACTAATACATAAAGTGTTGTTTTTATTGGTGTTCTTATCTTATCATTGCCATTGTAACTTGGACGTTTTTAACAGGAAAAAACATATTTTCACGAATTTAAATTCGTAAGCGGATCGGAATAAGTTTACATAGGATGAATAAAGTGTAATATATCGTCAGAAAGAATATGTTCGATCCTGTCCAGAGCAAAAAGAAAGGATGGATTTATCAACGCATGTCAAGTGACATTTACATCACGAGAAACATTTTTAAATCCCCCGTTTTGCGGGTGTTAACAAAATGATACTGGATGCCGCTGAAATGTCAAAGTAACATATCATGAAAATTAGGCAGGTCAACCTTCTATCACAACGTTTCTGGTATTTTCTTATTTCCAAAAAATCTGTTGCTAAGAATCATAATAATGAGAATATTATTGCATAAAAAATTAAATATGTTTCAATACGGCTGCTATGATCTTCAATTCTCCCAATGGTCACGTTACATGTCGAATTTTATTGTATGTTAAAGGTTCAGACTACTAAATTTACTTTCTTCTTCATTTTTTAGATAAAGACTCACATTCGTGGCAAGTATAGGTCCTACTCGGCGAGTGACCTGAATGAAGCTTACAGGACAGTAATAGAAGACGGATTGCCTGTAGAGAGAGTTACTAAAATGTTTATGGATGTTTCATACTTTGCACCGTTTGAGGTAGGCTGGAATGCAGCGTGTCATCAATACCTGAGAGAATATTGTGGTCGTATAGTTACCCGCTATAAAGTAGGTAAAATAACAAGCACAGCTTACACAGAAACAGTCACACCTTTCAATATACAGTCTGCCTGTGGTATTTACTCATTTAACTCTAATGTCGTTAGTGATGCTTCTATTAAACCGTCTTTAAGTTTTTAAACTGAAGTCTTAAATTCATCTGAAATTTTTGATAAAGTGTAACTTATGAAAACCGAACACCTGTGGGACTATCCAAATATTCCGGATTTTGGGGGTTTCCAAAATTCAGGAGTTCGGACTTATCTGAACAAATAGAAATATTAAACCACAGCAATTTTAGTAAGAAAAGATAGTCACCTATAACTTTCTTAGTCGATACGATAGCGTAAAGTTAAATATCACAATTTATTCTAAAGAATGTTAAATGTAATACGTAACTTTTCCACTTTTCAATTTCTTAATTTTCACAGTTTAATAAATGATCTAAAATGTCTGACAAATTGTGATTCTAATAGGTGTCAAAGTAAATGGTCAATACTAATTGGAAGAAAATGACACTTTGCTGGTTTTATAATCTCATGTATAATGACAATTACACCATTTTCAATTTCCGGATTTCAGAGGTAAAATTTAGTAGAAATATCCCATATTTCACCAGAAAATCGTTCGAAATTCAGAAAATAGAAGTTCTTGGATTCAGAGGTATAGAAAACATAAGAAAAGAATGAAAAAATCGGGACCCTTAAAATTGTTCGGATTTCAGAAGTTTCCGGATTTAAGAAGTTCTGGAATTCGGAAGTTACGCTGTTGTAGTAGTAAAAAAAGGCCAAGAAGAGGTACCAATTGCATCAGATGCTCGGTCCTTTCTATGTGTCACCTGCTGAGACAAAAAAGACTTTAAGTAAGATTGTTGGAGGGATAGCTGTAACTGAAAACCAAGTGTTTGATGCAGAAAAAACACATATTCAAGACCAAAAATCAAATAAGTCAAAGCGTATCAACACCTCTATTGCTGGTTCATCTGTTATTCCAAACAAAAAAGTCAAAATACTATGTTGTTGCTGACTCAGATGTTGACAATTTAGATTCAGAGTGCTAAGAAGGAATAATACTTTTTTGTGAGCTTCTTGCTCTAGTGAACAATAGACTTATATGGCAAGGTATTTTATATAAAACATTTTTAAAAAAACAGTTAGAGAAGAAAAGAAATCAGCAGTTAACGTTTGTTTCATCGTTCTACATTGTTTGGAGTAAGTTACTTTCTTCTTAAACTGAAAGTTGTTTTCTAATATACAGAGTGAAAAACTTTTGGACCATCCTTTACCTGAATTTTCTCGACCAATGAAAATCGTCGAAATTATAAGACGTTATTTTTTCAGGAACCAAAATGGCTGTCCCCTTAAAAGAAGTGTAAAATGTTTTCGTGTTGTCAATGAAATTATCAATTATATAGGAAAAAGATGATTTTAGTTGGCATTTATTTTATTTGTACATGTTTTCCCACACGTAATGTCCTTACACCGTCGAAAATATAAGAAGCCAGGATACCTGTTTAAGTTTGCTGACAGCTTGTTGAGCATCAGGTCTTCCTTTCAGTTCTTTTGGGTCTTCAAGAATTTTAACGATATCAGCTATACACTCAGTAAGTGCCCGTCCTTCCATTTCCATACTAGCTGAATGAAACAATTTGTTTCTTCTACCTCGTACCTGGAGTTTCCGTGAAGAAAGTTATATATGATAAAAACAATTTTTAATTTCCTTTATAACTTTTCTTGGATGTCATAAAAATGTAATTGTTTTTATGATCACAAAGAGCAATTATAAAACAATAATGTGTGAATGTGTTATTTTCTTTTTTTAAAAAATCAAATTTTGTTAGTTTTACTTTATTTTTGCTTTCAGCAGAAATTGACAATTTAACTGACCACCTGTGACTTATTTAACATGTTTTATTTTTTTCTAGATAAGTACCTAATCGGGTATGCTATGCAATAATCTAAAATGTTCCGAAGTTCCCCTCATTTAATTTGTCTTTTATCAAATACTTTATGCCATAATGAAAACACTTTATCTTGACCACATAAAAAAGATAATAACAAAGGCGCTAGATTTCATATAGTGACGAATATTCTTAAAAAATCCAAAGTTTTGGCTTCTTAAAACATTGGAGTTACACACGACAAGTCCGAAAGTTTTTCATGCTTTCGTCATTATTAATGCAAAAACAATTCTATAAATAACATGTATTTTTACTTCGGAATGAACTTTAAACATTTATCAACCAACCTTGATGAATATATTTTTTTCAGCCATGGAGCATGCTAAATGAGAATGAAGACTGGCGTTGTTAATGAAGACATGGAGTAATCCAGATATGTCCATATCTGCCTTTGTCTTGTAGAAATATCCAGGTGCATTTATAAAACATTTGGCGACCTCCCAAGGTTCTGTACACCATTTTTGTATGTCTGTATTTTCCCAATTTGGTGTTGGCGAGGTGGATCCGTGGCTTCCTAATATGTCGTTCATAATGTGTTCGCAAACTTGAAAACGACATTTTTCCTTCTTTGCATACAAACAAGTACATTTGATTCTACTCAAGAGGCATTCATTTTTACCAGCACAATGTGTGCTGCACTCATGTTTTGGTCGCAGTTTGCAAGTGGTACTAGATTTCTGATATATAGCACTAAGAATTCTCTTATGTTCTTGTTTAACAACATCATCAGCAAAACCTTCCAGTCCTTTTTTTAAATATTTATATGCCAAAACACCTCTCACCCAATTTCTGTATTTGATTTTCTCTATCTCAGATTGGTGACTCATCGTTTGGATGTTTCACTGGTTATAGTTTATGAGAACTACCGGTTGTCCAATTGTCGTTTTCGATGTTCTCTAAAGGATTATGGAGAAAACAATACACTTTATGTGTAAATATGATAAACAAGATCAAGAAGGAAAGGCGGTGTTCAAAAAGAAGATAAAGGCAATCAAATAATAAAAAAATACACAATTGAACTAATAAATTCCTAATGTTTCCATTTAATGGTTAAAACAACTTCTTTTAAATAAAAATTGTGTGAAGGTAAAACATCAGTCCGACTGATGCAGAAGCTCTTTGATGACAAGTTGTATAATTTACTATTATTTAAATGAAGGCTATAAATTATCAAATTATCTCGTTGACAAGTTTCTTGCATAGCAGACTGGCGTTTCCGTTAGTTTTACCCTTGCAGGCAGTTTCATCTGGCATGGAGGGTGCCGGATGAGTCGCGGACCATACAAAAACGTCATTTTAGCGCATTTATGAATGAACTTCGCAAAAAATGACGTGAATTCGATGCATTTTTAACAGGGAACTAGATCTGTGTGCTTAGGATGAAGCTATTTCGTCGTTATTATTAAGGTTGTAAATTCATACGCTAAATAAGAAAGTAGATATTTATGAAATAACATTAATTTCCATGAACAAATATCCAATTTCAATATGAAAGAATATGGCAGAATATGCAAGAAAAATTATCTGACATAGGTTTGCAGTTCAGATCGAAATGTCCGTCCCCTCGGGTACCCGCTTATGGGCGGTAGCTCGGCAAGCCACGATACTGCCAAATTGGCGGGTTACCCTAGGGACGGATATTCCGATCCGAACCGTCACAAATGACAGATATAATTATTCTTTATGAGTTTTTCTAATCTGAAATTTTTATCTGTAATATATACTGAATGCAACAAGTTTCAAAAGATCTTGAGCAAGCCGTGTGGCAAATCATATATTATGTTTATTGGAGAATTTAACATTACATTATATGACTGCTAATCACCAACAACAAAACAAATCTTGGAAATGATGAGTTTGATTGGCTTCACTAACTGTTGTATTTTTAGTTGCGTAGAACATTTTAAATTCTTCAACATGTTCCCTATAACTGGGTTGTCGGATTTAATTCGTAATCCAAGGCTTTGATAATATACGGAAAAAATATACTGAATACCGGGTAGCTGTTTATTCAAAGGTCCTACAAAAAAGAAGTACAACAATAAATAAAAAAAAACTCAATAAAATTACAGGTTTCTTTTTTCGTCAAAATACCTATCTTATATTAGTATTTGTTAAGCGATTTGCCGAAATATAAATCGGAGCGAAACAGTTTAATATCGCCTCAGTGTCTAAGCTTTCTGTAATTGTTATAACTATATCACGCTGACATTAATAAATTTATATTCGGGTAGCTTGTATGTCATACAATTAGGTCATCACATTATGTCAAAATATCCACCAAACAAGAGGTCAATAATAACCCTTATATCGCTCGCCTGATTCTTGAGGCTCTAAATTAATATTGTTAGCAATGAATGAAAGGCGGATAAAATGCCATAAACTTAATATCAAACTTGATATCATAATATTCATATCTTCACCTGAAATAGTGCAAATGATAATAAGGTTTTCCATATATGCATTTTATGTATTGTGACCCTTTTGTGACCTCAGATGAACTATATTCAAACCTGAACTAGGAATCATACAAACAACCTTTCTGTCCAATTTCAATGATATATGGGCGAAAAATGTAATCTCTACAGTGATAACAAAGTTTTTTTTTTCTTTTTGTGTATGCGACCAAGAATTTGACCATGGATGACTAATGTTCAAAGCTAAGCTAGAAATCATCAAAATAACCTTTCTGAAAATTATCATGATATTTAGGATGCAAATATTGCCTCTAGAATGTAAGTAATATTTTACCCAAAATTTTGGTTGTGTTACCTAGTTTTTGACTTCAGATAACCTTTCTGACATATTTCCAAAATATTTGGACCTAAACAGTATCCTGTACAGTATTAGCAAGATACTCAGATAAATGGGCTGTGTAATCTAGTTTTTGTCTATAGATGAACTTTATTTGAACTTGAGCTAGAAATCATACAATTAGGAAATTTGAACTAAAACAGTAGCCTCTAAAGTGTGAAAGAGGTTTTTTAATACTTGGGATGTATGACCTTCTTTTTGACCCAAGTTATTGTACTAGAAATCATCTTTATGACAACATTTGTAACCAATATCTAGGATAATATCTATGGATTGTCATCCGTTAAAGTAGGAATAAGCAAATAACACAAAAGTAACACCGGATCTGTGTTACGCTATGGCTAAAACAAGTAAACGGGCCAAAATAGTTTATCCTAAATTAATCGTAAAGAAATATTAAAGTGCATTCGTCTGTACTTTTTTTCTTTTTTTTATCATTTTTTTTTTATTTCTCTTTATTGTACAATGCAAACAATAGAAGTCATGAAATAATACAATAATACAATACCATGAAATTTGATGTAATAACAATGTTCTGAAATGATACACACAAATTCATACATTTGCAAAGTACTATATGTATTTTCTTAATATATTTTTTTTAAAAAAGGCAAAGTTTACTCTGCACAAACGTTCAATTATTTAAGAGTTAAGTTACAACAACAATAAGTGTCACAATTTTTTTTACAACTAATAATGTAAGGTACTTTCATTTTCATTGATTAAGTTTATTTATTCTTTCCATACATCCTGCATTGTTTCAAACCAAAGCATTTTTTTTGGCATTAATTATTTCTGTTTTAACCAAAAATAGTAATTGATTTTTAAAAGCCTCTGAGTATGGCAATACGGACTTCATTTTACATTTGTAAATATTATGTTTTAATAATAATAATATATTATTCTCTGGAACTGTGAATCGGGAACAGCCGAAAATGACAGATTGTTCAGAACAATGAAAAGATGAATTTGGAATTTTGTTTGTTAACCAACCCTGCACGACCCTTATAAAGATGTTGACTATGTCACATTCCCAAAATAAATCTTTTATGGTTTCTGGATTGACATTACAAAATGTACAGTTGTCGTTGTCCCTAACATTAATCTTTTTCAGTAAAACATTAGTACCTAAAATACGATGCGTTATTCTATATTGAAGCCATAAAAGTTTTGGATCCTTAGTTACTTTAAAGGGTAGAGAGTAGATACTTTTCCAGTTAAGATAAATATTAGAAAAATCATTTTGCCATTTTATTTCTGATTTTGTCTGACGATTATTATTGACCAGCACGTCGTATATTGCGCGACACCCTTTGCGACTTTTGTTAAGTTTTTGGATGGCAATTTGCAATATCGGGTTTTTTACTTTGATATCATTTTGATTTACATGAAAATCCGTCAAAGTTTTTCTGAAGGAACGTATTATACCTTCATATTCAAGAAAGTTTGATCTTACATCAAATAAACTTTGAAATTCTTGAAAACTATAAAACAACCCATTCTCATTAACAAAATCGTTGACAAACAAAACACATTTTCTTAAGTAGTGTTTAAATTCAAACGATTTTCCTGCAATTTTGAAATTAGGATTTAACTATACCGGATTGGACAAGAAATCTGCCCAATTACCTGAACGAATCTTACATTGAAATAAATAAAATGAATTCAAAACATCCTTCCAAAACAAATTGTTTACTCTACTTTTATGTTGTAACAAATAGTCACTACCATATTTGGTCGACTGGTAAAGAGCTGGACACAATTCTTGTACAAGAAAAGCATATTTAGTGTTTGAAGATAAAAGTCTTCTTATCCAAGTGATTTTCAAAGCACTGATGAAATGTATTAAGTCAACCGCTCTAAGCCCACCATTATATGTATCTTGAGTGAGTTATATTCTACTTATCTTATCCGGTCCATAATTCCAAATAATTTTGAAAAATACATTTTGTAGGTCTTTAATTACATCAGATTTAGGGTTTGGTAAAGTTAAAAACAGGTTAGTTAATTTAGACAAAGCAAGCGTCTTAATCACTGTGATCTTTCCTATAGGAGAAAGTAATCTTCTGGACCATACTTTTGAAAGAGTCTTAACTTCATTTATCTTGGAAGGATAGTTAAGATCACTTATAGATGTAATATTTGTTGATAAAGTTACTCCCAATAATTTAAATGGACCTTTGTCCCATTTAACACCGATTTCCGGACATAACTCTTAATCGCTATTTCTCATTGCACCTATCCATAACACCCTAGTTTTGTCAACATTTATTTTTAAACCAGAGATATCTGCATAAAATTTTAAAACTTTCATAGTATGAACGAGGGATTTTTCAGAACCGTCTAATATCAAAGAGGTGTCATCTGCGTATTGTGACATCAAAAACTCTATACCCTTAATTTTGATACCTTTGATATTACTATTTTTTTATAAGTAAAGCAAGAATCTCCGCGCACAGGACAAAAAATATACGGTGACAGGGGGTCCCCTTGTCTACAACCTCGAAATAAGGGGAACCAGTCGGAGAGGTGGCCATTAACAACAACATATGATTGTATATTTGTATAAAATAGTTTTTACCCATGAAACAATAGAGTCACCAAAGTTAAAAAATTCAGAACCGAAATCATAAAGTCCCAAGACACGGAATCAAATGCCGCAGCGAAGTCGACTAGTAATATCATTCCGGGAATATTATTTTGTTCAGTATAAAACATTAAGTCATAAATTAAACGAATATTATCTCCTATAAAATCTCCCCGTGATAAATCCACTTTGTCTTCACTTATCAATTTGTCTAATACAGATTTAATTCTATTGGCAATTCACGCGGATGCAATTTTATATGTAATATTAAGTAGGGAAATCGGACGCCAATTTTTTAAGAAACGTTTATCTTTGTCACCTTTCGGTATACATGTGATAACACCCAATTTATCGGATTGCGAGAGTTCTCCTGTGGTATATGAGTAATTAATTGAACGCAAAACAAAATCTCTTATATCAATCCAAAAGAATTTAAAAAACGCCGAAGTAAAACCATTTATCCCAGGCGAAGTATCATTTGCCATTCGTTTTAAA